AGCGAAATATTTTTTTTTTCTTTTTTGCATCTCCTCTAACCACACGCGTTTATCACAACTCGACACCAGTCCATTTGAACCGGTTCAATGAGATCAACACACTGATATGTATCAACGAGTTTTTAAGCCCAAATATATTATTTTATTAGAATTTGGCCCACGAACCTGATAAAAAATCACCGATAAAATTGAACCGGTCATTGTTCCAATCCAATAGAACCGGTTCACAAACTTACACTTGAGCACTCTCGTTAGCTCATTTGCAGAGTTTGGAGATCGAAATCCGGCGAAGCAAAAATGTTGGCTAGGGTTTGGAGATCGGAATCTTCTGCTAGATTGATCATTGTAAGATCGATTCATCATCGTGTCGACACGAAAGGTACAATTAGAAAGCGTCTTCCTTCTTCGTCGGTATATTGCAGTGGTAGCGAAAAGGGTTTTGAAGGAGAGGAGTTGAAATTGAGAAGTGGGTTTCGTTATATCAAAAGCTTAGATGATGCGATTGCTTTGTTCGATGATATGGTTCGGTCTCGTCCCTTCCCTTCCGCGATTGATTTCAACAAATTAATGGGTGTCGTTTTGAAAATGCATCGACCAGATCTTGTGATTTCTCTCTATCAGAAGATGGAATTGCGCAGGATTCCATGTGATATCTACAGCTTCAGTATTCTGATAAAATGTTTCTGCAGTTGCTTCAAACTTCCCTTTGCTCTGTCTACATTTGGGAAGATCACAAAACTTGGGTTTCAGCCTGACGTAGTCACCTTTAGCACGCTGCTTCACGGTTTATGTCTCGAAGGTAGGATTTCTGAAGCCTTAGCTTTTTTTAATCATATGGTTGAAACAGGATGTCATCCCGATGTCGTCACTTTTACCACATCGTGAATGGTCTTTGCCGCGAGGGTCGAGTTCTCGATGCAGTAGCTCTACTTAAACGGATGGTAAAAAATGGTCATCAACCTGACGTAGTTACTTACGGAACAATTGTAAACGGATTGTGTAAGATGGGTGATACTGTGTCGGCCTTGAATCTTCTTAGGAAGATGGAGAAAAGCAACATCAAAGCTGATGCTGTAGTCTATAATGCAATCATTGATCATCTTTGCGGAGATGGATGTCATACCGATGCTCAAAATCTTTTTGATGAAATGCAAGAGAAAGGAATTGTGCCAGTTGTTCGTACCTACACCTTTATGATTAATGGTTATTGTATCTCTGGTAGATGGAGCGATGCCGAGCTGTTGTTGCGTGATATGATCAAAAGGAATATCGACCCTGATGTTGTAACTTTCAGTGCATTGATCAATGCTTATGTCAAAGAAGGGAAGTTCTTGGAGGCTGAAAAGTTATATGAGGAGATGCTCCAAAGAGGTATATTTCCTACTACAGTCACATATAGTTCAATGATCGATGGGTTCTGCAGGCAGAACCGCCTAGATGAGGCCAAACAGATGTTCGATTCAATGGGTAGCAAGGGCTGCTCTCCCGACATAGTAACTTTTAATACACTCATGAATGGCTACTGTAAGGCAGAAAAGGTTGATGATGGAATAGAGCTTTTTCGCGAGATGCATCGAAGAGGAATTGTTGCTGATACAATTACTTTCAGCACTTTGATTCATGGGTTTTTTCTAGTGGGTGATCTTAATGGCGCCCTAGGCGTCTTCCAGGAGATGATTTCCAGTGGTGTGTGTCCTGATGCCGTTACTTTTCGCTCTATGCTTGCCGGTTTATGCAGTAAGAAGGAACTACGAAAGGCAGTGGCAATGTTGAAGGATCTGGCAAAGAGTGGTATATCCTCGACTCTTTTTTGTCCGGTTTATTTACTTTCCTTTTGGGTTTTGGTGAAGAATGCAAACATATTATGAAACAATTAACACATCTGATTGGTTTGGTGTGTTTGCCATGCAGGATCAACAATTGGAGGATGAATGAAAGAATGCAAACATATTATGAAACAATTAGATCATTCACATATCTATCTTTAGCAGCAGAGAGCTTCAATGCCAT